AGTGTGTGTGTGTATGGGGGGCAGTATGGGGGGGCAGTGTGTGTATGGGGGCCCCGCCCCCCACACTGGGGGGCAGTGTGGGGGTGGGGCTTATCTGTGGGAGGTGGGGCTTCATTTGGGGGTGGGGCCTGTGCTAGGGAGCCAATCAGTGCTACCTCCAGCCACAGACAGCCCCCAGCACCTCTCTCCTGCATTCCCTCGGGCTGTAACAGGCTGTTACAGTCCGAGGGAAGCCCATGGCCAGCAAGTTGCTGGCATTTGGGGGGGCCCAAGAGGGGACACAGCATGATGTAGGGGGGGCCATGGCCCCCTCTGCCCCTCCCCTAGCGACGCCACTGAAGCTTATTGGTACACACACAAATTTAGTACAGACAAACTCTGACTCGCACATGCTTACTACAGACAAGATCATGGTCACACACACACAGAAACACGCACACGCTCACTACAGACAAGCATACTGACACACATGTTCATTACAGACAAGCTAACACACACATGCTCACTACAAAAAAGCTCACACACACATGCTCCCTACAGAAAAACTCACTGATACACACGTGCTTCCTACAGTCAAGCTCACTGACACACACACACATGCTCCGTACAGATAAGCTCACTGACCCACACACATGCTTCCAACAGACAAGCCCACTGACACACACACATGCTTCCAACAGACAAGCCCACTGACACACACACATACAAGTTCACTCACTAGCAGACAAACACACACACAAACAAGCTAATTCAGGAGCAGGAACACACAAGCTCACTCACTAGCAGGCACAGACACACACACACACACACACACACACACAAGTTCACTCACTCCCAGCTGGTATACAGGGGTCTCCTTCTGCTAAACATTTAGGCAGTGACTTATATACAAGCAATCACTGTGTAGCTCTCTTTTTAAAAAAAAAAAAAGAAAGAAAGAAAGAAAAAGAACCTTTAACCACTAGAGTTGTGATTATGAAGAAACTCCCTGCTTTGCACAGAAGGGATTCTCCTGGAACCCTTTCTTTAGCAAGAGAATTGGAATAATTACCTGGCTGCTTCCCTTTCACAATTTCAGAGCCTTATTGATCTTGGCCTATTCATTAACTTGTTGGTGGGGTAAAAATAAACAAAAATCTCTGAATATGTGGAGATTGTTTTACCTAGGGGATCAAACTAAATCTGGTGAAGAGGAGCACAGCATGACACACTGTTAAGGGGTCTTGCAGAGAGGAGACGAAAGGGTCTAGTTTATGCTGTTGAAATAAACACAGACCACCTAAACTGTCTGCCTGATTTCAGGAAACCTCATCAGACCTGACCCAACTCCCTCATGTGTCAGTCTTTATTCTATTAATGAGTGGTCTAAGCACAATGGCACTGGGATGCCCTGAAGCCCATTATTGTGAAGTTCCTCTTGTCCCAGGACTGGGTCTTTTCATTTTCATATGGTTATTGTTTTAAATATTTTTATTGTTTTCACAATATAAGTGCATATTGCGAACTGGTTCGTAATAAAGCCAGAGGTTGCCCACGCAGGGGCTTAAGCAGTACGTTATAGCATTCATTAAGGTGAACAGTCGCCTACGTAGAGGCTTAAATGTTAGCACTTAGGAATAGGTGCAGATTATCGCCTGCGCAGAGGCGTAATGATCAGAACATATAGGCGTACTTGAACTTTGCAGGAATACATTTCTAAGCATTACAGCATAAAAGGTAACAACATCCTATAATGCGTCAATCTGAGGTAAACTGTAGCTGATCATGCAATAAACAATTAAACATTAAGATGCGCGTAGCTGATGGCCTTATTTGTAGTTAATAAATCATGTCATGTTCCGTGCCATTAAATAAGCGGTACTAAGTAACGCGGTGTTAAGTAGCTGTTAGCATTGTGTCATTGCCCTATCAACTGCGCAACAGGCTCGCTGTGTAATGAATGTGCAACTATTAAAGTGTATATCCTATGTACAAGGGCTTATGCAAGAGGGAACATTAGCATGGTTAGCCCTAGCTAAACACATTCGAACTTTTAACATATAAGTCACTTCGCTGGAGGGGGCGTAATGGCGCCCGGTATGTTGAAGCCATCTGGTGTGAAATTGGCAGTCTTCTTCGCAGCTTTTATTCTGGCATGACCTTCCCATGGCTATCTCTGAATGATGCTGCACATGGTGGGTCAGCTGTACCCCCCCTGAGTCTCTCCGGGTCCCCCGGGTGTGACAGCGCCCTCCCTTTCCCACCCCAAGTCGTGTTTCCGCATCTTTAGGGGGCACAACCCCGCTGTGGGCACTCGGAGGCCGGAGCTGTCCGGCAGCCTCCCCACCTTAGAGTCCACTGGGCTCCCGCCTCCTGCACCTCCCCAGCTTCAGCAGGGCCTCCTTGGGGCCCCAGCCCTGACTTGCCACCTCCTCCTCCGGCCACTTACATGTTGCCGGCGCGTGCCCTCCGGCCACCGGTCCGCCGGCTGGCCCGCGCTTCTCAGCCCCACCGGGCTCACAGAGTTGGGGGTTGTTTCTCCCGGACCCCCACCAAATCCGGGGTTCAGGACCGGCTTTCCAGCGACTCGTACGCCGCCCGGGGTGGTCCAGTAGTGAGCTCCGCCGTCTCGGGGGTCCCGGTATCCCAGCGCGGGATTTCTGCTGTGTGCTAGTCGTCCCGTGATGCTGTGCGGGTACTGTGTATCCGTCGGCCATTGTAGCTCCGTGTACAGGAGCGTCGTGTACCGGGCGTGCCTCCTCCTCCAGCCTCCGATGTTCCGACTTTGGGCCGGGATCACCCCCCCGGCCGGGTGGGGGGGGAGCGGGGCCGGGCCAGGTCACCCTCGCCTTACTTGCATGCTGTGGGTCCCGCTCTTGTAGCGTGGTTGAGGCCTCCGGGGTCACTGTGTGAGCCGGATGTTCAATATGTGCTCTAGCGTTGCACTCCCCGGTTCCTCTCTGCCGGATTACCTCTCTGGTGTCGGTTTTCGGCATGGATCGTGAGTATTTTAAAGGTTTTAGGCTTTTCTATGCCGGAGCCAGCGTGAGTTGCAGCCGTTCGGCTCGGCGGCCCGGCCCCGCCCCCTTCATATGGTTATTGTATCTCTTATACTCAGAGAGCAGGTCTTAGCACTGAGTCCTGGATACCAGTTAAAAAGGATCTCACCTCTGAGCACAAAGTATATCTAACCAATAGCACACATTGTCCATACTAAGACACCTACTGACACACATCACCAGGTTCACAGTCATAGATCACTCACTAGCAAACAGACACACTCATTCACACTCTCTCTCTCACTAGCAGACATACACAGCCATGGCTAAAGCTTACCTGGCAGGCGTGGCTTGCATGCGGCGGCGGGGCATGCAGCCGAAATTAAGGCAAATAGTGCCCCCCCCTTGCGATGCCACTGTATCTGTGTATCTGCATGTGGGTCCGTGTATGTACCTGTATGTTATGTGTATCTGCATGTATGTCAGTGTGTTTGTTTGTGTGTTAGTGTTTCTGTTTATCTGCATGTTTGTCAGTGACTGTATCTGTGCATCAATGTATGTAGGTGTGTCAGTGTGTATCTGCATGTGTGTCTGTGTATGCACCTGTTTTCTGGGCACTATAGATTCTTGGAGTGCCCCACTCCCTCGGCGCTGAAGGGGTTAAAACACCTTCAGCCACTTACCTTAATCCAGCACTGGGCTCCCTCCAACGTCAGCTACCAAGTGGAGCCGAATGCGCATGCGCAGCCAGAGGTGCGTACACATTCAAACCTGCCCTTAGGAAAGCATTACCTAATGCTTTCCTATGGGGATCTTATTTGACGCTGGACTCCATGAGGACATCCAGCATCAAATAAGTGCGATTTACTCCATGTAAATCGCGGAAGCAGCCTCTAGTTGCTGTCAGGGAGACAGCCACTGGAGCCTGGATTAACCCTGCAGTGTAATCAGAGAGTTATGAGTCAAATTACACAGCATGGGAAAATTCCAAAGAACTTTCCCACACTGTGTAAAATGACATAGAGCACTGTGATTGGTTGGATTTCAAGCCAACCAATAAGTGCTCTGTGACAGGTAAATTTAGAGACTTTTCTGTCAGTCTCTTCATTTACCTGTCAGAGCACTCTGATTGGTTGGCCCAAACCAACCAATCAGAACGCTATGAGCCTAATTGCAGGGCGTGGGAAGGCTTTATAAGCCTTTCCCCACCCTGCGAAGCTCAGTCTGCACCGTGCCCTCCATGGTGAAGATGGATTATTTTTGTGGCGTCGGGTTTTTTATTTTATTTTCAAAGTCCGATGGGTATTATGGATTTTTATTTGGCCTTTTTTGGGGCTGAAAAAAGAAGATTTTAGAAAAAAGAAGACATCAAATGGTAAGTTATTTTTCATGTACAGGGATTTAGTTTTATGGTCCCCCCCCCCTCACTATTTAGGGTGAGAGGGATAGGTATGGGTTTATTATTTTTTTCTGGGTGGGGGGTGACTAAGGGCTTTTTGAACCCCTATTCACCTGGGGGGTTAACATTTTTATTTAGGGTCCCCACCCGCCGTTCATGGGTTGGGGCCGGGGGGACAATAGGTCCCCCCCATTTTCATTTAGGGCCCCCACCCGCCGTTCATGGGTGCAGGCCAAGGGGAACCCTATTTCCCCCATTTACTTTAATAGCCCCCACTCCCGGGGCACGGGGTAGGGACACTGTCCCCCCCCCTCCAAGGCTAGTTAAGAGATGCCCCACCATGGAGTCATTTATTGAGGGGGAGAGTTATTTGTTTTTATTTTTACAACAGTGAGCAGCCACAGGCTGCTCACTGTTTACTAGACATGCCCCTACTCGCGGTATAGCGAGTAGGGGCAGCATTTACTAATACTAAGTAACCTTTACTTAGTATTAGTTAATTTGGCTGAAAGACCAGATTAGGTCTTTCAGCCTTTTGATAGATAGCTCCCTGATACTGTGGGAATTAGGGAGTTATATACTAAGCAGCTGCACGAATAGGATCGAATGAAGTTCCGATGCGAACAAAGTCCCAAATTGCGTCCTAACACGAATGGAGAAACTGTTCTGATTCTGTTAGGATGAAATTTGATAGTTTCACTGGCGTTCTGTCTAAATGACAGGATGTTCGGGAATACTGACACGGATCAAAGGTGAGAATTGTGGGAAAATTGCTTTGATCACTGGAAACAAAGTACTCTTTGCACCTCCGCTGGTCATAGCTGGTCAGGCGTAGGAAACCTCCATAAGACAAAGTAGTCACTGCTTTGTCTTATGTTTTAAAGAAAACTAGAGCAGCAGGAAGAAATGAAAAACAGATCCTGACAGAGGGAAAGAAGAGGAATTGATTGGAGAAAGGTAAGTTTGGGTACGACAGTGCCCCTTTAACAGTTTGCTGAAACACCGAGGAGCTGAGGCCGAACTGAAGGCATGTGAACTGGAAGGAGTGGCCTTTCCAGATGAAATGCAGGAACCGTCTGCTCTCTTAGTCTACTGGGATCGACAGATGTGAGTCCTTCAGATCTAGACGGGTAAACCAATCCCTTGCGTGAAGGAGGTCTCAAAGGAGATGAATGCCCTCCATCTTGAAGTGCCTGTAGACCACAAAGGAATTCAATCGTCGTAGATTTATGACCGGGCGGAACTCCCCTGACTTCTTGCAGACCAGGAAGATGGAACTGAAGAAACCCCCGTTGTCCTCTGTGCAGGGCCGGTGCAAGGATTTTTGCCGCCCTAGGCAAAAGTAAAGTTTGCCGCCCCCCCCCCATGTGACATCACAATGCTCCACCCATATGATCTACCATGTTAACTAACGCCAGTGCTGCAGTGCCGCCGTGTTTACATTATAAGGCATACAGGGACAGGCTATAGACACCAGAACAACTACATTAAGCTGCAGTGGTTCTGGGGACTATAGTGTTTCTTTAATGTGAGGTAAATTAGAGATTAGTGCCACGAATAATATACTAGATTGCCTACTTACAACCAAATGAGGATGATGATGGGTTCTAGCTGCAGTCTGGCTCCACTGGTCTGGTGTAGAACAGGCTCTCTGGAGGCTGTTTGTAACCGTGGTCACAAAAATCAATGTTCTGGGAGAACGGTAAGCAGCTCCATTTTTTGGGGGCCCTTTACACAGCTCAAGGTCTGGGTCCCAGGGTCCACCTTCATGTTCCCCCAATGAGTTTGTTCACAGGGGGTGGAGTGTGTAGGGGATGTCCTGATATGTGTGTAAGGAATGCATTGTGTGAATCTGAGTTTGTATGTGTAAGGGCTGCAAGGTGTGTTTCTGTGTATGTACAGGATGCAATGTGTGCGTGTGTAAGGGGTGCATTGAGTGTGTGTAAGGAATGCATTGTGTGTTTGTGTGTGTGTAAGGGATGCATTGTTTGTAAGGGTTGCATTGTTTGTGTGTGTGTCTGTGTGTAATGCATTGTGTGTTTTTCTGTGTGCAAGGGGTGCATTGCATGTGTGTGTGATGGATGTCAATCTCTCCCCCCTCCCTTGTCACTCTCTTCTCCCCCCTCTCCCTTGTCACTCTCTTCTCCCCTCCCCCTTCCCACTCTCATTGCCCCTCCCTCCCCTGTCACTCTCACCCCATCAATTTCTTCTCCCCCCACCAATTTCTTCTTCTCCCCCCTGTCAATTTCTTCTTCTCCCCCCTCCCTTACCAATTTCTTCTTCTCCCCCTCCCCTCCCAATTTCTTCTTTCCCCCCCGCCCCTGAGAATTTCTTCTCCCCCCCTCCC